AATAAATAAATATTTAAAAAAAAAAAGAAAGAAATTACTGACACTTGAAAGTTAAAAAAACAGACCTGTGTGTGTGTCTATGCGTCTGTTGTCTGTGTCTGTGTATGCATGTTTTGTCAGGTTTTATCTAAATTCTAATATATTTAATATATATAATAATATATATGTATGGGTATTTTACCTGTATGTCTATTTGGTACCATGTGTGGTCCTAGTGCCTGTGGAGGATATAAGAGGGCATCAGATGCCCTGGAGGTGAAGTTACAGTTGGTTTGAGCTGTCTGACAAGGGAGACAAGGGAGTAGAACTCGTGTCCTTTGGAAGAGCATCCAGTGCTCGTCACTGCTGAGCCATCTCTCCAACACCTTTTATTATTTTAAGTTATATGTAGGTATGTGTGTATCAGCATACATAGTACAAGTGCCCACAAGGCCAGAGACATCAGATCCCTGGGGCTGGAGTTACAGATGTGGCTGGCAACTAAACTCAAGTGAAATAAGAGCTCCAAACTGCTGAGCCCAGACTCTGACTTCCACCTCAGTGACCTTTCTGCTTCTCTCTCTCAAGTGCTGAAATCTAGGTGTGTACCCACTTAGCCAATTATATACCTGACAATATATTAACATTTACTATATTTTTAAAATATATTTTAGAGAAACAACTTAGAATAACAAGTAATGAGGCTTCTTAATTTTGGCATCACTGATATTTTATTCTGGAAGGTTCTGTGGTAGAAAATCATCTTTTGCATCCCTGGCCTTCACCCCTGTCCCATAAAATTCCTCACTGCTATAACTCTACAGTCAAAGCATCCACAGACATTATCAGGTGACACCCTACTGTAAAGAACTGCTAATTTAAAAAGACTTTTATTAAGATAACTATCTGTACTTTCTTTAAAAGACAAGATAAACCAGCTGGGTGGTGGTGGCGCACACCTTTAATCCCAGCACTCGTGAGGCAGAGACAAGCAGATCTCTGTAAGTTTGAGGCCAGCCTGGTCTACAAGAGCTAGTTCCAGGACAGGCTCCAAAACTATAGCGAAACGTTGTCTTGAAAAACAAAACAAAAACAAACAAAAGACAGGATAGACCAAAGCTTTAGAAGTGAATCTCATTGAGTCCTAGATCCCATGTAGGCATGATGGAGTGCTACTTCACTTTCCTAATCTCGATACTTGTCATCCATAAAATGAAGAATGATGATACCATGTAATGGGGTGGGAAAAGCATAAACTGAAAGAACCTCTAAAAAATATCTGCAGCGTATTTGAGATGTAGTGAACACTTAGCAGATATGAGTCCCGACCAAATCACCCAGCTTTATACTGCTATGCCCAGCTACAGTGCTGTGCTGTGCTCATGGCTCATCAGCATTTCTAGTCTAGCCTTTCTAGGTACCTACCAGCGGTACTAGCAGTGTCTCAGTGTAGAGAATTGCCAACGATTTTCATATACAGATATTTATGAGTCTATATAGACTTTCCTGTGTTTTGTTTTTCCTCTAAGGAATATCTGGTACCAGAGTTGTCGAGTGAGATACGGTCTCTCTGGTCCCAAGCTGCTGACCTCTTTGAGTCTGAAGGTGCCAAAGTGATTGAAGTCTCCCTGCCACACACCTGCTACTCAATAGTCTGCTACCATGTGCTGTGCACATCAGAAGTGGCATCGAATATGGCAAGATTTGATGGGCTACAATATGGTGAGCTGGCTGCTTCGTGGTTGTTTAAGATACCTCAGACATTTGAAAGATTCACATACTGGTTATTATAATGATTCAGGAAAGCAAATCAGTAAATCAATTTTTTCCTTTATTATCTTAATATTGAACTTATATTCATCACAGTTCTTTCTTACATTTTGTTCTCGGGACTGAAGGGAAATTCTTGAAGGGATTGTCTTTGTGTGCCTATATCATCTGATGTAGTGTCTTTAGTGTCTTACAAGGCGAAGCTCAAAGTTTGCGCGGATGGATAGATGGGTGGGTGGGTGAATAGATGATGGATGGATGGGCAGATGGATGGGTGGGTAGGTAGGTGGTTCGATGGATAGATGATGGATGTATGAATGGATGGTTGGATGGATGGATACATGGATGGGTGATTGATGGATGTGTAGATGAATAGATGGGCACATGGTTGGATGGATGGATGGATGGATGGATGGATGGATGGATGGATGGATGGATGATAGAGTCTTTTCATGGTCCTTTTCTCTCCGTGGTTAAATCCCATAATTAATTGGTCAGTCAGTCACAATGCAAATAAAGAAAAGGAACTTGGACAAGAAAGTTCTCTAAGATCCATACTAGAGCCAAACTTTTAATTCTTTTTCTAGTAATGTTTACTTCTTGTTCTTTAGGTCACAGGTCTGGCATTGATGTGTCCACTGAAGCCATGTATGCTGCAACCAGACAAGAAGGGTTCAATGATGTGGTGAGAGGAAGAATTCTCTCAGGAAACTTTTTCTTATTAAAAGAGTAAGAGAATTGCTTTAAGAATTTTTGCTACTCTTGAAACCTTAAAATTTTCATATCTAGAAATACACTGGCTCAGCTAGCAGGGTACTTGCCCAGATGTCTAAGGCCCCAGGTTTGATGCCCAACATCAATATTGGGTAGTGCATGCCTGTAATCCCATTACTAGGGAATCTTTTAATAGTGCTTGAGCATCCTTCATTTAATTATCTCTGCCTTCCTGGTATTCATAAAATACCAAACTGCAACACTGTGCTTTCCATGATAGAACCTGCTTCCCACCACATCTTTATTCCAGCACTAGCTAGGATCTCTACATAGTGAGTTCTAGACCAGCCATACTATATAATAAGACTCTGTCTCGAAAAATAAAACAGCACTTGGCTAGCAAGATGCCTCAGTAAGTAAAGGCACTTTAGGCTGATTGATGACTCGAGTTTGAGTCCTGAGATCCACACTGTGGAAGGAGAGAAGTGACTCTGGCTGCTTGTCCTCAGCCCTCTGCCCATTCCTTCCTTGTTCCCTCCCTGACAAAGTAAATATGTAATAGTAGTAGTCTTAGTGGTCCCTGATGGGAAAGCTATGGATCCAGTGGCTCATTAATATGTCTAATGTAAGAGAACAAAACAAAACAGAAACAGAAAAAGTCTTTAAGATAGCTTTGTATTTTTCCACAGAAATTATGAGAATTATTTCGTCAAAGCGCAGAAAGTGAGGCGCCTCATTTTAAGGGACTTCGTGAATGTTTTTGAGTCTGGTGTGGATGTCCTGCTAACTCCCACCACCCTGACTGAGGCAGTGCCATACCTGGAGTTCATCAAAGAGGACAACAGGACGCGGAGTGCCCAGGATGATATTTTTACACAGGCTGTAAATATGGCAGGTGAGAATTCCTTAGGGATGGTTTGGTTTTCTTCAAAGTTTAGACAGACTCCCAGGTCTTCAATTCAGGCTCTAGCAGGATTGTTTCCTAAACACAGTACCCTTTCCTTCTAGAACACTTGAGGGGGATGCGTATGTGTTGTATATAAACATTTTTAACCAGTATGCTATATTTTTATAACTGGGTTAAATAGACATTTTTAACAGAAAACCACATACTTGTTACATTAGGAAGCAGTTATAATCACTGTTCACAATTTAGGAAGCTAAGTTGTTTACTTAGGAAGATAGCTCATAGGGCTGGGGAGGAAGCCCAGGGGTAAAGCACTTGCCACATAAGCAGGGATCAAAGACCAGAGTTGAAATCCCCATCACCCACATGAAGCCAGATGGAATAGCGTGTATCTGTAGTCCCAGTGCTCCCATAGCAAGATGGGAGGTGGAGACAGGAGACTCCCTGGAAGTCAGCTGGCCAGGTAGCTTTTATACACAGTAGTGAGCGAGAGCCCTCGACTCAGATTCGATGGAAGGCAAGGACCAGCGCCAAGGTCTTCTAGATGTATCCATGTGCACACACACAAACCAGAAGAAAATGAAAAGATAGCTGCCAGATCACTCCCTAAGCAATTTGTGTGTCTTATTTTGGGTTTCCATTGCTGCGATGAAATATGACCGAAACAAGCCTGGGAGGAAAGTGACTTACTCTTCCACATCCCAGTTCATCATCAGAGGAATTCAGAACAGGAATTCAAGCAGGACAGGAACTTGGAGGCAGGAGTTGGTGGAGAGGTGGAACTCACTCTGTAGACCAGGACGGTCTCAAATTCACAGAGATCCACCTGCCCCTGCCTCCCAAGTGCTGGGATTAAAGGAGATGGCTACCACCACCCAGCTTTTTTTTTTTTTTTTTTTTTTTTTTTTTTTTGAGAAGAGGGTTTATCTGCATAGACCTGTCTGTCCTTGAACTCACTATATAAACAAGGCTGGCCTCAAACTCACAGACACACACGCCTCTGCCTCCTGAGTGCTGGGATTAAAGGCAAGGCATGGGCCACCACAGCTAGCTATCATAGTTTGTTTAAGCCTTATTCTGTCTTTATGTAAAAGCACAGGAAATGACTTCTTTCTCTTCCTCAGGCTTACCAGCAGTGAGTGTCCCTGTGGCCCTCTCAAACCAAGGGTTACCAATAGGACTGCAGTTCATCGGACGAGCATTTTGTGACCAGCAACTTTTGACAGTTGCAAAATGGTTTGAAAAACAAGTACAGTTTCCTGTTATTCAGCTGCAAGACCTCATGAATGATGGCTCGTTGGTTCTTGAAAATGAAAAGTTAACTTCTGTTTCTCTAACCCAATAGTAATCAACGCTGGGCCTCTGGCTTGCCAGGCAAGCCCTCTGACATTGGACTGAAACCCCCTCGTGCAGATCATGCCGTTCACCTGACTCTTAAGAGGGTCTGTTCTCTAGAATGCCCAGTGATCTTGCTCAGCCCTGTGATTAGGTCACTGTCGACACTGTCTGTCCTGGGAATCACTTCTTCAAATCCCTGTGATGTTGTTCATTGTAATGTTTATACATTCATTAAATAACGTTCAAGTATTGAATTTTACTATAACACAAAAATTCAAGATCATAAAAACAATGCATTCTGCATAATTTTCATTACAAAGAACAGAAATTAGAGTAAAACTAAGTTTAGTAATAAATGTCTGAAAATGAGTATACATTTATAACAAAATAGTAACAAAACAATAACATTGACTCCCGAGGTGACTGGTGTGGTTTTGACAGGCAGTTCGTACTGCAGTTGCCTCAGCGGTGTGAGAAATGCACACAGGCAGACAGGACTTGCCCTGATAAAAGCGCTGGACATATGAGGAAGTGTGGCCCACCAGGCCCAGAACCACACAAGGCTGCAGCTCCTCAGCCAGGCTCAAGGCTCCTTTTGTTTCTCTGGAAACAGAGTTAAAATGACAGGACTTCCTCCTTGCCTCGCCTCTCTCAGAGCAAGCACAGCTCTGGGTCACACTGGATCACCTCCCTCTTAATCTCAGGGTGGAAGGTTCCAAATGCCCAAGGGACACACGGTGTGAACGTGTGAGGAGACAGTGGTGAGGGTGCCCGAGATGACATCATGGGATCATCTTTCCCTGGAGTGTCTCGGCGATTCCGTACTCTCTTGACCGGCTTCATCAGTGTTCTCTGTTTGGACCTCTTGAGTCCCAGTTAGACAACATCTAATAAAAATGTACCTCTGGAGTGTCATGGATGAACATCTCTGTCTTTGCTAGGACACTTGTCACCTCATGTTAATCTGGCATTTTAGGTTGACACGTGTATATTGTTGATAAATGAAAGTTGGAACCTGAATTACAGTGATCAATTTATCTGCTTAGTAAGAAAAGCTTATAAATGTGAAGGATATGAGAAAATACTGAAGCAGAGCCCGACTGCTCTGTCTGGAATTCACCCTGCCTGTTACTGTCATTAGCACTTTCCCTCCTCAGGGGACGCGCCCACTCAGATGTTCAGTCTGATTGCACGGAAAACCTTAAGTGCCAGGCTCGCTGGTACTCTCAGAGTCAACTGAATTCCTGACAGAAGAAAATATCTATAAGAAAACTGTATTACATTTGGTCCTCCACATCTATTGATTTCACATTTTTTAGAGGTACCACCAACCATAGATCATAGATCAAAACTGGTGGGTTTAAAAGATGATAGTTCTAGAAAGTTCCAAACAGCTAAACTGCAAAGTTTGGCCTTGCTCTGAGTACTATGAATCCATGCAAAAAGGTAATGTGTAGTGATAAGAGATTCTGGGTAACCCAAAAGTTTAACGTATACAGAAAAAAAAAAAAAATAGGTAATTCTGTCATTTTATAGTCGGGATCTGTTCCCATAGAATACTTAGATAACTAAGAGGAAATCATCCTAGTTGAAAGAGCTAAATGTAATATTAAAAACAAGCAAACACACGCATACACACACACAGAGACACACACCTGTTCCAATCTAAGAAAAAAAAAAACCTGGAGTCAGATATTAGGGGATGAAAGCTGAAAGATTAAGAGAAGCAGAGCAGTCAGCTACAGAGTTCTTACCTCTACGAAATCTTCAGACCAAAAAGAGACAGAGCTCCTATCTCCTCCCTCCTTATATTCCTCTCTCCACCCAGTCATATCACTTGCTCACTCATCTAGGTAGCTCCCCACGGACCTGCCCAGAGGCTCACTCATCCAGGTAATCCCTCAGAAGCCTGTCCAGAGGCTCACTCATCCAGGTAATCCCTCAGAAGCCTGCCCAGAGGCTCACTCATCCAGGTAATCCCTCAGAAGCCTGTCCAGAAACTCACCTCATCTAGATAATCCCTCAGAAGGCTGTCCAGAAGCTGACTGCATTTATATAGTCCCTCAAATGTGCTGGAGTCTTATGTCTGGGTGGTTCCAAGTCCTGCCAAGATGACAGCCAACAGGGACCATCACAACCCTGACATCACATTTGCCTCAAACTCACAATTGTGCCTCAGCTTCCCAAGCACCAAGTTCCAGCATGCCATACCACTTCCGGCTATTAGGAGAGCAGGGCAGCAGAAACATGGTTCCAGCAATGAGGACATTTAAGATAGGTAGCTTGCCTTAGTTATTTCAAAAGCAGTATGTGTACCAGAACAGAAACCTGAGAATATTTTTAAATTGCTAATGTTAATTAAAAGGTTTTTTTCCCCTTTATACATCAATAGAATATAAATCCAAAAGGGTTCTAGGCAGTTCATTAAAAAAAATTCATTAATACAAAGTATCTTTAAAAGTAAATAGTTGAAAAAAATCAATAAATGATTTTAAAAACAAAGCTGAGAGATACAGCCAGGGTACTAAAGACTGGATGGTAGTGTGGTGGGGAATTACGCAGCAGCTATCCTGGTGGCCAAAGTCATGGGATTTAAAGAACAGGTAGACCCAGTTTTGACTTTGGTGACTGCCCTCTGGCACTATGTAACACCTCTGAGCTGTATGCAATAGCCTGGAAACATCTCTGTGTATGGCGGCAGAAATCCACCATGCTCTCCTGACTGCCTAAGCCTGATCCCACTGTCTGTCCAGGCAGGGAGCTTAGGCATGGTCTCAGAGTACTTTGTTCCCGATCCTGAGCAGGAACACAAACATCTAGTCCCATAAAAGCCATTGAAATGCTTTATAGCCGGAGTTTGTGCTGGCGGCACAGCCCAGGAAGCTGCGTTTTAAAACCGCTCAGCTTTTTTTCCTGATAGGGCTGCTGAGTCAGGGAAATTTAAGGGTGTGATGCGGGAGTTCCCTCTGTGTGCTGTGAATAAAGAAACTGCTTTGGTCTGTTGATAGGGCAGAGCTTAGGTAGGCAGGGAAGACAGAACTGAATGCTGGGAGAAGGAAGGCTGAGTCAGGAGACACCATGGATCTACCACCAGAGTAAGACATGTTGCCAAAACATAGCCAGTAAGCCACTGCCACGTGGCAATACACAGATTAATTGAAATGGGTTAAACTAAGATGTAAGAGTTAGCCAATAATAAGTTAGAGCTAATGGGCCAAGCAGTGATTTAATTAATACAATTTCTGTGTGGTTATTACGGGGCTAAGCTAGCTGGACGGCCAGGACAAACAAGCGGCTCCCCACTTCTACAAGGGTGCATTCGAAAACTTGTAGCTATAAGACAACAGCTAAGACTATGGACTTGAGCTTTTCTGACAGAGACGTTGGATAAACTAATGGCACAGGGCCAATTTGTAATTTACTAGGAAGCTTATCTACCTCCCTGGTGATCTAGTATCTTCTGGAGATAGTTTAAAACTGATAGACTACATATTTTTAAACGATTTCATGTTTTTTAATGCAGAATTGGCTACCTTGTGATTTGGAAACATCGAGATCTGCAAAGGCTCTTGGCTCTGACAGCCAAAGTGCAGAGCTGGAACACTCCCCAGGATGGAGGAGCCTCAGAAGGGACGACCCCACATCCCTATGGGGAAAACTTTCAGACAGCTACATTCTTCTCCATGAAAATCATGTCCTAATCCAACATATAGACAGATAATTGAAGGTCAAGAATACTGCGTCTTAGCTGCAATTACATTATCAGAAAAAGTTTAAGGTAAATGTTACTAATAGCCCACTGTGCATCCATCAGGAAAAGACATTAATGAAGCACCATGAGACATCCAATCATAAGCAGTCTCACACTGGCCAATCTGCCAAGTTAAGTTGGTTACAAGATGGGCCTACAAGACAATGGAAAAAAAGAATAATGGAAGATTTCTGCCATTTTAACACACACTGTGGAATACTTTCTGGGCTCTGATGGTATGAGTGCACTGAGAGTTCCCGAAGGTTTCAAGTCACTAGCGTGCACAGTAAAAGGCAGTGGAGCTGGATTCAGAGTCTGAAAAGTTTTATATTAATGAGGCATTATAGCTCTAATTCAGTACTCCACTAGAACCCTTCTATAGACAATGTCTGAAGACATTTATCTTGTTTAAGTTACACCAAAATTATTTCTTAAGAAACTGCTTTTCTTCTTCATGGAAATGGCCAGTAGGACTCGGGTCATTGATTCAGCACGAGGGTGGTTTGAATGGTGAGACACTGGAAAATGAGAATTAGCATTTCGAACTCAACTGTATGAAAGAACAGGGATAAAATGATTGTTGAAATATGAGCGGCGGGGTTGCGTCCCCAACACCCCGCCGCTTGCTAGCTCACGCCCGAAATAACAACACACAAACTGTATTCATTTAAGAACTGCTTGGCCCATGAACTCTAGCCCTTACAGGCTAATTCTCGCACCTGGACTAGCCCATTTCTAATGATGTGTGTAAGCACCCCAAGGTGCACTTACCGGGAAGATTCTAGCCTATGTCCATCCTGGGAGAGTTGAGCATGGCGTCTCTGCTCGAGCAGAGCTCTCGAGTCTCTTCGGAAGCAGAGCAGAGTCTGACCTCACTTCCTCTTCCGCCCAGAATTCTATTCTGTTTACTCCTCCCATCTATGTTCCAAGCCATGAGGCCAAGCAGCTGGTTTATTATAACTTAACCAATGAAATCAACAGATTGATATATGACACTCCCACATCAAATGATTACAAACTTTTATCCTGGGAAGTATTCACAACTAGATGAAGGGAGGGGGACAACAAGAATGATTTCTAGGTGCTGAAGATGAATTCTGCAACAGGAAAAGAAGCAACTGAGTAAGGAGATCTTTGTATTGGGTTCCCTTTTCACTCTGTATTTTATCCAACTATTTAAAATTCAAGACAGTCAACACTCACCTACCCACCACCTATACTCTATCACTGATATTTTACAATGCCCATTTTTATCATGTGATCTGTTATCTCTTTTCATTCATCTACTATTTAAATATATATCAAAATATGTTTCTCATTCATATTATACTTTGAACCCAATATATAACTGTTTTATATAAAATTTACATACCATAAAATGCACAAATCTTATGCATATATTCCTTGAGTTTGCAGTCAGCATTAACCTATCTAACCCATATTTCTGTCAATCTTTGTATAAACCATTGCTATCAGTCCATCATCCCTGTAAAATTCTTCATGACTCTCTTCCATCTCCCTCCCCACAGGAGCCACTCTTCTGATTCTTATTTCCCAGTATAGCTTAGTTTGGCTTAATCTTGGACTCCACGAGTGTAATCTCCCTTAGGAAAATGCAAGGGGGAATTTCTGCTTTTTGAATTTGATTTGAATATTTTTAACAAGTTTTATTAATTATAAGAGAGCAGATGTTTTGAGTGGGAGAGAATGGGGGCTTTAAAGACCAAATAAGAGAAAAGTCATGCTACATCATTATGTAGTAGTATACTGTTAAAACTTTATACAAAATAATTTCTTTTAGATAAGAATAATGATATGGCAGCACTTGGAGCCAGAACAGGTTCAGAGGGTTCCCCACTGCATTAGTGGCAGGCTTGTGGAGGCTGGATACAGTAGCACAGTAGAGAAGTACTGTGTGACACTATTCTCAGGACAACCTGAACAAACATCTACTCACCCCTGCTGTGGGATAATGCTCTTGTGCACTGTAAAGATTTGTCACTTGTAATATTTTAATAAGACATTGATTGGACAGTAGCCAGGCAGGAAGTGTAGGCGGAATGACCAGACTAGGAGAATTCTGGGAAGAAGAAAGGCAGAGATGCAGTTGCAAGCCAGACTCAGAGGAAGCAAGATGAGAATACCTTACTGAGAAAAGGTAC